TCTGACCCTTGCTCCCAGCAGTGCTCATTCGAAATTTCCCACGTGTGCTGAGCTGGTCCCCAGCTCAGGCTGACGACCCCGTGGGGTGGGAATGTGCTGGCTTTCCCACGTCTCCACTGCACTCCAGAATTTTCATCAGCCTGCAAGGGTGGTGCCTTATCTTCCTTGTCCCTCTCTGAAAAAGAGCCCTATTAAGAATCATAACATCAGCTTAGAATGAGCTGACAGTTTTCTCCACTTTGCTCTGAAGCTCTTATTAATTTCAAGAGCAAGATGAGTTTTCTCTGAGATTCCCAATGTTAGTTACAGAAGCAACAACTTTCAGTACAATTAGTGTGTCAATGATTCAGTCGGTGAGTACTTTCTGCTTAGGATAATACCAATGATCGTTTCTAAATATTCATGATTCTTATCTTTTATTTCCAGTGCCCCCGGAGAGTATCATTTTATGCTAGCCAGTTTTTAAACAGTTGTTGATATCAGAAATGCAGGGTCATGATTTAGAGGTAAGGGAATCCAAGAGGTATATGGGCACTGGACCAAAAACAAACAAACAACAAAAATACACTTTTTTTAGCAAAAGAGTTGCAGTATTTATTCAACAAATAATTACTGAGGACCCATCTTCTTCTGCCACGTACTTTCTAGGTGCTGTGAATGTCAGTAAGCAGAACAAACAAAAATCCCTGCTTTCGTGAGGTTTGCATTCTATTAGGTCTCAATAAGCATAATAAATAAGTAAATTACATAATGAGTTAAAAGGTGATAAATGTTATGTAAAAAAAGAATAGCAGAATAAGGATCCAGGGAGAATGTATGTGTGGGAGCACGTGACAGCATTATACACAGTGGTCAGGGTGGCCTTGATTTCCAACATGACACCTGAATGTGCTTTGAAAGGGCAGGTATTTTATCACTTTAATGTAATAATAGCAGCAATCTTTTTCTTTTTAGTGCCTAGTATATGGCAATCCTGTCTTAGGTGCCTTAAAATGTCATTTCTAATTCTCAAAACAATCATGTGAAGTAGGTCGCTTCATCTCTTCTTTTTTTACAACAGGAAAATGAAGGCTTAGGGTATTTAAGTGTGGGGCCCAAGAACACATGGCAAATAAACAGCTGAGCAGGGATTTGAATTTTGGTAGCTCATTCCAAAGCTCGTGGTCTTTACACCATTCTGGTGTTTCCCAAGATGTGGTTTTTCAAGGTGTAAGTTAGGAAACTACCAGAGCCTCTGGAGGTGTTCATTAGAAAGTACAGATTCCTGGGCCCAATCCCAGTGTTACTCAATCTGAGTCTCTGGAGTGCAGCCTAGGAATCTGTATGTCTAGCAAGTTTCCTTGTGACACCATGGCATGCTCAAATTTGAGGACCACTGTTACGATGTGCTGCCTGGATCTTGCCACAGAGTGGTCATGATGTCTGTTATCATGATCTATTTCCAGCTCTAGGGTTTCCAAAAGAGTGCCTAAAAAGAAAACAACCAACGCAGAAGACTGTCCTAGCCAGACTCTTGAATCCTGTGTCATCCTCTGAATCTAGTTGCCTCTTCTGTATTATGGGACAAAGCCAGGTTCTTTTCTGCCCTTTCGCATTAACTCAGATACTGGCCACTTGGGAGAGGCAGTCTCAGCATCAGGAAATGAAGGACATTGGAACACTCAGAACAAACTCTGGGTCCCTGCCAGGCCCCTGGGTTTCTATATCCCTTTCATGAGTTCTTCCGTGGAATCACTGCCTCCAGGTCTACTCTGCTTCAAAGGACAAGCTCATAGACACCTTTTCTAACAAGTCTTCCTTTCTAATGCCAATGGAAGTGACACCTCCCTTTCCAAGCTCATAAACCCTTCTAAGGACTGTGAAACTGCACAATTGCTAATTACTTTTAACCATCAGGTCCTGTCTAGCTTCATCCTTCCTTGTTTGGAATTATAATAATTCTGAAAGCTTCTTAAAAAAGCAAAACAAAACAAAATAAAATAGCTATATACATGATTGCATTTTTGTCCACCCACATAGACCAGCTTTGCCGACCAACCACCGGCCTTGGTATAACTAACTAGATTCTGAAATTCCAAATATGCCAGGAAAATCTAAAATGTGATGAGATTAATTTTCTTCTGTGCTTTATAAAAATAAAGGGAAGTGCTAGGGCATAGAACTATGCAGATTTTTAGAACCAGAAGAGATTTTGGGTATCATTCGTTCAAACCTAGTCTTTTGTTAACTAAAGAAACAGAAACCTAAGAAGATGAGGTCATGTAGCTAATGTACAGCAAAGACAGGACTATAGTAAAGTTTTCTGGTTCCAGAGCCAGTTTCTTTTTATAGACTCAGCAATGAGATCTTTGTCTCCCCTGTCCTCCTACTGCACTAGTCTTTTTCTCAATATGTAATTCCTGTAGTTTGTCTAAGGAGAATAAGAATGACTGTGTTAATGCTTAACTTACTCTGAGAAAAGTATCCTTAATTTTCCACACCCAAACCTTTTCATACACATAAAGAATAAGGGTTGGTAATATGGAAATCATATGTCACAGCACTACCACCGAGTCATTCATCAATTCAACCAATAACTATTGTGTTCCTACTGTGTCCGAGGCACAGGGGTAATGCAGTAAAGAAAGTATTGTACATGGAAATGGGAAAAAAAATCACCCTGCAATGGAGCTTACATTCTCATGGGGGAAACACACAACAAACAAGAGAAATCAGTAAAACCCTGTATTAGTAGTAGTGAGTACTAAGGAGAAAAAGCAGGGAAAGGAAAATAGGGAGTGAGGGTGTGTGTGTAGGGTCGGGGGAGATGTATTTTAGACAAGGTGGCCAGGAAAAGCTTCTTAGAGAAGTAAAGACCATAACCGGGGAACACAAATATGAGCTATTGCCTAATAGAACCTTGACATCAATCCCTACGCAGAATGGCAAACAAAGATCCAATTTGGAAAAGGCTGGAAAAAGAGGGATACTGATGTTTTATGCTGTCCTTAGTAATTCAGGTTGCAGGAAATGGAGAGAAGAATGGCACAATGAAAATAGCAGTAGCTGTACTTTCAAAGAAGCCAGGAAGAGTTTTGTTAGTGTCTGGGTAGAAAAGAAACACTTGATGCTTTGTGGTTTCATGTAAAGGAGAACGTTGTTTAGAATACAGAATTTAGATAATAGAATTAGGATTGATGAGAGGTATTATTTTGTTAAAAAAATCCAGAGAACATGAAGTAATGCCAAGACTACTTGGCAAGATGATATGTGAGTTAAAACTTGAAGAAAATGGTGAAAAGTTCAAACACTTGATTCATCCAAGTATGTAATTAATTATGAGGCTTTTGGTTGAAGTGTGAAATTTATAGAGTCAATGACGAATTCAACATTTTTTTTATGAATTGATCATTTTTTGAGAGCTTATCATGTGCAACATAGGGACAGTGCTTCAGAGACACAATGAGAAGCAAGACACCATTCTACCTCAGTGAACTTTTCACTGTGGTCCCTTTTCTCTTCTTTTTGGAAATCCTACCAGAACACATTCCCCAGCCTCCCTTGCAGTTAAGTGTGGCTTGTGGATAAGTTCTGGCCAATAGGATCTGAGTGGATATGATGGATGCCCTTTCTAGGGTTACCCATAAAAATCTCAGGAAATAGCAAAGTCTCAAGATGCAAGGAGCTGGGGTTCCTAAATCACCAGACAACTGGAAGGCTGTCCACCAAACATCTGATTAAACTTTGTGTCAAAGAGATATTTGTATCTGTTGTGTTAAAATACTGAGATTTGAGGCAGCTTATGTTATCCAACTAACATAATTATTAATTAACACTTGGATAGGCTTTTACAGTTTGCCTACTGCTTTCACATATCAAATAATTCTGGTAAGCACCCTGGGAATTAGGACATATTTTTATTTTTTCCATTTCACAGGAGCTAAAATTTATGTTTAATGAGTGTTGAATTACTTGGTCACAATTACATAGGTGTAAGACACAGGGGGCAAATATGCTAAACCACTGGCTCTCAAATTTACAAAAAAATAATCGGTATAAGACAAGCATGGAGATAAATCTAATGCAAGGCATTTGATAAGTGTAGCCAATCTGTTAAGGGGATTCAAAAGAGGCAACTGGCATTCTTGCTTGAAGGAGCCACAAAGAGTTCTAGAGGAATAGGTAGGCTTTATGGTGTTTGCAAATTGACAAGAGAAAGGGGGAAGAAACGTGGAGAAAGTTCCTGTAAATTTTGACATGTAATATGAGTGGCGAACAGAAATAGAAGGGAGTTGGCATTTGTTCTAATGTTTCAGGGGAAGTTGGAGCAAGAAATGCAGTTTTATGAAGGAAAACAGGAACTGGTAATTCAATACAAATCAAAAAATATTTATTGAGTGCTTGCCAGATGGAGGGCCTTCCAAAAGTGCTCGGAGGATACAGAGAGGAGATAACAAGGGCACAGCCCTTGTTTTAAACGCGTTTATAGTCTACTGGGGGAAATGGTTGTAAATGATCATACACAATGTGGAGGAAGATAAACATCAGTAAGAACAGGAAAGGGGTGCATGGGACAGAGAAGTGGCATGGGGAGAACATGGGAAGGACAGGTGAAGCTTCATGCAGGAATTAAAATGTCAAGATTGACCTTGGAGGAGGTGCCATCACTGAGGATGCTTATGAATACATGAATTCATGATGGCCACAGATAGAATTCCAAAAAGAAGAATTGTATCACTATTTTGAGCAAGGACACTGCTTTATGAATAATTAAATGACTCCAAAACGTGATCATTGTTTAGAGAACAACAAAATGAAATTTATAACTCAAGTATGTTTGTTTAAACATGGAATCACAAACTTAAAGTGGCATGATAGTTATGAAACTTTCTATTCCCACTGAAACTGCCTGGTTTCCAATGAATTCAGTCAGTGACCAGCACTGCAAACCAGAAGATGGCAAACTTGAGGCGCCCAATAGGCAGCTTACTGAGATGTCCTGCCACAGAAGGGCCACCTACCATGAACAGGGCTTCATAGTTTTCAATCATCTTCTGCACCACAGCGATGATGGCTGTACTTTCCTCAGCGCGGGCAGAACTCTGGACGGAGAATTCTTTGTCTGATGACTTCTGCTTGTGCAGCAGGTTGGGTCCAAATATGGTGGCCAAGTTTAGAGATGTCATTTTATTCCCAGTGACCTATAGGAGAAGAGAACACAAGGTCTGTTATGTTTGCTCTTCAGAATGCAGAGTGGTACACTGAAAGGTCAAAAAAAAAAAAATGCAGGGTGGTTCGATAATCAATTAAACTTTTTTTTTCTATTTTTTTCCCTGCAACTCTGTCAGAATCCATGAGAGACATCACCATTTTCCCTTTGCTTCATATCTTGGATTAAAGCTCAGAGCTCTGTGTTCAGCTCAATAGCATCTTGAGGAAAAATTTGCAACTCCAAGTTGTTTATTGTGAAGCAGCTGCTATACAAAATTTCTATCCTGTTTGCACTTAAGAAATATTGATGTCTATCCTTCATCCATTAATCCATAATCTCTCCATTAATCCATCCACTCAGCACCTACCATAGGCTGGGCATTTTTCATGGATTATTGTTACTTTAAAATGTTTCCGACAATGATTGCAACACAGGATTTATTTTAAACGCTCACATTCCAGGGCGGAAATACACCTATCATTTACAGGTAACGAGTACGAAGTATAAAACTCTCAACTTCAGAGGCCTCAGGGATACGACCACAGAGGTGGCAGTATTTGCACACAGTCTGGAAGGAAGAAAAGAGTTTGCTAGGCTGAAAAGCAGAGGGTCTTGGGCAGGGGGCAATTTCACAGTGGAGAAAACAGCATATGTAGAGACAGAGACATGTGAAATATGTTCAGGAGCCCTAGGAAGCTCAGTGAACCAGAGGCTTCTGCAGGAAAGGCAGGCAAGGGCTAGGTGAGACGGTCTTTGTGTGTCTGATCGAGGAGTTCAAATTGTGATCTAAGGATAAGAGGATTCTGAACGGAGCAGAAGGGAGATGGGACTCGCATTTTAGGAAGAGCAATCTACACAGATCTACAGACTAGGGGATGCTGGATGCAAGGAAGGGGACCACCTGGGGCACATGGCAATAGTCTAGGTGACAGCAGCTAGCATCTGAACTAGGACTGAAGAAGTAGGGATGAACAGCAGCTCCCAAAGTTATTGAGGGAGACGAATGAAGGGGATAACACTGAGGGTGAAGAGTTGATGTTTAAATAAACAAACAAACAAAATAGAAGGAGAGCAAGTGAGGAACAGGGAGGGCTGAGAAGGAGTTCCTGAAACTCCAACACCTTCAAGGAGCAGCTAATGAAGAAGGTCAAGAATGGGTGAGAAGTTAAAAGGATGAAAAAACTCTGTGTCCGAGAAGAAATGATAGGGGAGTTCCAAGTGAGTGATAAACTGTGGCAGAGGTTCACCCCATATGAGCCTTCCCTCCGGATTGGACTCTGACGGTCCTGATGTCCTAGCCAAGAGCCATTTCAGCAGTGTGGTAGGAGTGAGCTGCGCTTGCAATAGTGGAAAGAGTGACTGCGGACACTTCCTTCCAAAGGTCTCACAGAGAAGGAGGAAGAAGAAAGACGGGAAGAGGTAAAGGAGAGTACAGAGTGAAGAAAGGGAACGATTTTCTTTAGCTTGAAGCATAAAAATATTACCCATGTTCAATATATGAATAATTAGAAACTACAGGTAAGCATAAAGAAAATAAGTCCATAATCCCACCTCTTCCAGGAACCAGCCATTCATATGCACATATATACAAATATACCTGTGTTATTTTCTTTTTCAAAACTGGAATCATACTCCACATATTTTTGTAACTTGCTTATTGTCTCTTAACAATGCATTACATTAATCTTTACATTTCACAGAAATCCTGTTTTCAATCCTCGTGGGCCCTGAGCATCCCATTGCACGAACAGACCATGATTTGTTTTAACCACAGCCAACCGATGGGCACTTATGTTGTCTTCAGTTTTCTGTTATTATAAGCAATGGTACAAAATAAATCTTTGAAAAGACATTTTGTGACCTTGGCAGAGCACTGTCTTAGGAGTTAATTCCTATAAGTCAAATTATTGTAATAAGGAATATGAACATTTTTAAAGGTTTGGGAATTCTTTTTGTTTGTTTTTAAGATGGGAGGGAATGTCTGGATAAGTTTCTCTAGGCTAGGGTTTCTCTACCTTGGCACTAATGACATTTGGGGCCAGATCATTCTTTGCTGTGGGGGCTGTCCTGGGGACTGAAGGATGTTGAACAGCACCCTGGCCTTGGTCCACTAGATGCCAGGAGCATCCTCCCAACTATAGCTGTGACAACCAAAATTGTCTCCAGACATGGTCACATGTCCCTTTTGGGGCAAAATTGCCCCTGGTTAAAAATCGCTGGTCTGAGTGAATTTTTATTTCTCTTGTCAATATTAGTTGAGAAGCCAGGACTGCTGGGCTAAGTGAGGGAACTGTGGCTGCTTGGTGGGGTCCTTTTGCCTGGGAAGATCTACACAGCCTTTGAGAAGCACCTGGGTGTCGAGCATAGAATTCGGGAGTTCCGATAAACAGCTGAGACAAAGCACCCAGCGTCCCAGAGTCCTACCCTTGTCCTGTGGAGCCCTGATCTGGTGGCTGCCCTGCCCTGCAACCCCAGCATGCCACAGGAGTTGTTTTATTTTTAGAAGGCAAGGCTGTTTTCAGGTGAATAATTTGCCACCAAGGGAAATAATTTCATGTGGTAAACACATGAAATTTGTTTTTGAATTTGAAAAGAAATTGAATTTGAAAGAAAGTGCCCTTTTTGTAGGACCATTCAATTATTTTTCTTTGTTTTATTTCATTGATAAAAAATCTGACAAGTTTTGGTTTTATTTTTCGTTTCTTTTCCTGGAAATTCGTGGTTAAGGACAAAATCAAAAATGTGTCATTTTCAGATTCCTCCCTTTAGAACTCAGAGGCATTTGGAGTGCTTCCTCTTCCCCCTTTAAAGTAATGCTAGGATCTTCTCTTTCTCTTTTTCTAACATTAACAAATAGAAGATTTTGTTTTCTTTTGAAAGAATGTTTAGTACAAGGACAATCCAGATCTCCGTTTCCGCTCTCTCCTTCTCCTGTTGCTATTCTGGGAATGCAATACAATCCATCTGTAAAATTGCACATAGATTCCAGCTGCAGACCACGCTGCTCGTGCTTGTTAACGCATTTCGGCTTTGTTTTGTTTTATTGTTTTACTGTTTTTTAAATTGGAAAGGAGATTTGCTTCCAGGCACCTTCCACCTTTGCTCCTCGTGTTTCAGCATATATTTATATATGCTATATGTCTGTGTCTAGGTAATATGATGTACACTCAAGCCCCGACCATTACTTCATTATTTAATTAACCAGCCAATTCAAGGACAACTTTTATCTTCACTAATAAGCATTCTAGATCATTTCTAAGCATCATATGAATAGCTCACATTTATTAAAAGTCTAGTATGTACAGACACTGAGCTAGGAGCTTTCCACCAGCCATTTCAACTCTTTCTCACTATAAGCTTACAAAGAAGCTACTGCTGTTGTCTTTATTCTATAGACAGGGGAAGTGATACCCAGAGCCCAGAGCCAGGGGGTGGTGCAGCAAGAAGTGAAGCCACCGGCTCCGCTCCGGGCAGCCCTATTCTCTTCATCAGGTCGGTGCACCTGCTCCTGTTCCCTCCAGCTCAGCAGACCCTGTCATGGCACGGGGAATTGGGAAAATGTGTTTTGAAACAGGGATGGGGGAGGCTGAGGCTAAAGTTCCAAAGCCAGCATCCCAATTCTTGGAGGCATGTACTCCTTCAAAGATCAGTGATCACGGCCCTACATTGGTGGTTCCTAAGTTCTTTTTTTTGCCTTATAAGCCCTTCGAGCACTCAGCGCCAGCTATGACCTCTCTCACCAAGCAGGTGCATAGTCACACCACATTTTCCATGCAATGTCAGGGGGTTCCTGGACTCTCTGAAAAACCACTGCTCAGGAGGCTTCAATTTTGTTCCTGCTATATTCTTTCTAGAAGAATGAAATGTTTCTTACATTTGTGAATTTCTCTTTTCCCTAAAGAGCAAAGCAAATAGCAAACTAAACAAAATGGAAGAAAAAAATACATGCAAGATGGCTAAACACCACAATTCAATAAATTACTGCTATTTTTCCCCAAAAAAGCACTGATCGACTAATCAACAATGTTTCTCATCCCCTTTTTTTAGAGCCCTTATGATCCCATCTGTTAATGATGCATTGAAGTTTAAGCATCTATTACAGAGGAAATATTATGTTCAGTTTATAGATAAGGAAGCTAACACCTTCCCCCATTCCAACTCTGTTTTCCTTCCTCTTCCTCTCTTTCATAAAGACAGGTCATGAAGCAAGGTGCTGGCAGAGCCTGTGTGAGCCTTCAAGCTTCTTGACAATCTGCTTCCGTTTTCTTCCATGTTGTAATCCATAAAAAACAAATAGATAATACAAACTAACAAACAGGCAAGAGAAGTTAAAAATGCTTGTTTCTTTACCATATATGTTACAATTTGATTTTTAGCCTTGCCCTGGTCTGCCCATTCTATATTCTCTACCTGCTCATGCCAAACCAACTAGAAAAATAATAAACAAAGAACCTCTCTCTTGATTCTCTCCCTCTACCCTCAACTTCTACCAGAAAGGGGTTAGCTAATTCCCATCCCTATGCCATGCTTATGTGGTCCATTTACCCAATCCCTGCACACGTCAATCTCTTCAACATGTATCTTAAATTCAATCTCTTCCATGGAGCCATTCCTAACTTTTCTGGCCCATGTTCATCGCTTCTTCTCTGAATGTCTGTGGTGACTGCACTTGCATTCCCTATTTCTACATTTGCCTTGTGTCCTCACTTTCTCCACCTCCTGGATGCTACAGCATCCCGAGAACAGTCATTGGAAAATCCCTGAACAACAATCCTGGGTTTAGAGGAATGCAGTTCAGGACTCGTACATAATTCAATTACCAAGGCCATTCGTACATGGAAGCGTTTGCTGCTGTCCATATTACCATTGCTACGAAAGCTTCCTAACGCACTCTCCCTCTGTCTCTAACCAACCCACAGCACAAGTTATATCACCTATTAGCCAAATCCTTCCAAAGACTCATTATTTAAAAGAATTAGCCGCCTGCCTGCCCCTCACAGAGGCATTCACCACTCTAGGAACATGGCCACATTTCCCATTGTCTCCCTCAGTACTTCACTGCTCTGAAGGCTTTACTCCAGTCCAAGGTGGCTGTGCTAGCTGCTTGCTCTCCTGTCACTGCTAACCATTTCACAGAAGCGATGCTCTCCTTATACTTCCCCTGCTGCTTTAATCTTTGGCTACCAGTCCTACATTTTGATGCAAGGTTTAGGTCGAGTGTCTAGAAATCCTTGTGAGTCTTTGCTTCCTTGTACAACTTCACTGTTACCAGGATGTTTTCATATTCCTTATAGTAAACTAGGCCTCTCAACCACTGTGTGGTCCCAGCTGAAGAATTTTTATTCCCCAAGTTCAGATGAGGAAACCCAGGTTTAGGAGGATTAATAGATTTGTCTAAGAACACGTGGTCAGTGAGTTATAAAGCTACCAAGTGCTCTCAACCAGGGGCAATTTTGATCCCCCACCCCTGGTGGCAGACTTGGCAATTCTGGAGATATTTTTGGTTGACACAACTTGGGAGAGAGGCGGTATGCTGCTCCTGGCAGCTAGCGGGTAGAGGTCAGGGATGCTGCCAAACATCCTACAATGCAAGGCAGCCCCTACAACAAAGAATTCGCTGTCTCCAAATATCAATTGTCCAGAGGTTAAGAAACCCTGAACTAGACCCCCCAGAGAGTTTTTTTCTTCTAATTCCTATTCTATATATATTTCTTTTCTCAATAATTTAGACTGACTTGTGTTTGATACACAACTGGGACTTCACTAGTCAAGGGACCAGCCCAACCACACTAGCCAACATAATGACTTTGTCTGAATTAGAAAAAGAAGGTCCTTCCTCAAGATCTTTTACTATCATCTTCTGGGAAGATGTTGTACTAATAACTTTGCAAATCTACAGTGATTATGGGGTACATGGCACCTCCTCCAGAGTTGTGAAATTCACAAATGTGCCACTTGTACAATCCTACATGGAGGCTCCCTGTGGGATGCTGGGAAAGTTACTTATAAATGTAGCCCCTGGCAGAACGTCAGCCACATGGTAGGAGAGACATACATGGGAGCTAGTATACCAGCATGTTAAACTTCATTTACACCTATTCAAGAATATTTTTTTCTTTTTGGCATAGGCCATGAAGTCCTGTTCAGCATTTGGACTGAAAGAATGTCTGAAAATGATTCTAAAAGAGCAATAGTGGATGCGATTGGACTGGATTTTTCACTTTCCTCAATGCCTTCTTAATCACCTGAGACCCAACTTTCTCCATCTCACATAGTACTTAAGAAATTTCAGAGAAGCAATTGAACACAGGGCTCTGCCTTTACCCAGCAATTCGGCAGACAAGTCTACAGCTTCTGTTAAATGTGCGGTCCAAAAGGCTGACATCCAGAGGGATGATCTAACTACTTAACAATTATGAGAATTATAGTATAACCATGGAAGAGCTGTGTATGCTGAAATAGGGTGTCAGTGCCGTATTATGAAACCTGAAGCTAGCAGGGGTTCCACTAATTATAATGACTATAGAGATAAATGTCCAACTCAGGAAAGTTCCATTCTCACATCTATAAGGAGGAGGAGGAGGAGAAATGCACAATTGCCTTTCTGGATTAGAGTGAAAAAAACTACATATGATAATGTCCTATGGGAAAGAAATTTGACAAACACAGAACTGAATCCACAATAGTTGAGTTCTGCTTAACAAGGATCTAAATAAAAGTTCCTGTGGTGAAGTTTGGAATGCCTCTGGCCCCTTCTTGTTGCTTTATAGTGCATGTTAATGTACAAAAGAGTCTGAGACCTCCTGGGGAATCCAAGGTCAGGGAGAAATATGACTGCATGGTATCAAAGAGGGAAAGAGATCTCTTGTTAAGATGAAGATTAAATAGGTTGCTTGCTAGTAGGTCACTTAAAATTGAAGCCAGCATCTCCTTTGTCCAAGGGCAAAACTACAAAACAGCTTGAAGTATATGAGCGTGACCAAAGAAAACCAGAGCCCAAGCTCTCAGATTTGCAGAGGGTTACACTGGGCCTGAGTGGGGACCAGGTCCAATAAGAGCATCTCTAAACGGTCTGAGGGATTATGCAGAACCTGCTTTCAGCGGTTGACACCATGTGACACAGAGGTACAATGACAACAGTCAGCAAATCAGATCTTCTAGTTCCCTCTACACCTGGTTTGGAAACAGGACTGACCCTCCATTGCACTGAGAAAATTCTTATTTTGGGGGGAGGGTTTAAGGAAGGAAATAACTGCTCAAAAAGGAGATACTAGGCTTCTTGATAATAGTGCAGATGGAAGCTCCAGGGATAAATTGGAAGAATAAAAAGATGACATCATATTTGGGCTCCAAGTTAAAGAAGCAGATAAAATCAGTTACAAGGACAACTATCTCCTCCCACCCCCATTACTCCACTTTTATATGGTTGCAAGTACCCTTGTAGCTCATTGTTTATCTTCTCACAAATGGAAATCCAGGGTCTTTAGTCATCGTCATGGAAAATGACAGCCTCATTCAGAAGCATCCTTGAACTATACAAGGAGGTTAACAGCCCACACACTCTTGGGAACTGTCTCTCCAGAGAAGGTCCTACGTAGATAGACCCAGGGAAGGGAGGCGTCATTTCTGCCAGGTAAAAATGTTTTGCGATATTGGTGGTATGCCCTTTTAAAGTGGGAGAAAGGATGAGTCACAGCATCTATGGCAGCAAAGGGGTCATACCTCTTGCCCATCTTTGCTGACGTTGTCATCGGCATGCCTGGCCACGATAGAGAGGAACTGCAGGAGGCGGTGGAGGGTGTCGCAGTTGCAGGGAGGTAGCAGGTAGATGAGGAGCTGCAAGGTGCCCAGCTGTTCCTCTGGCTCCAACACTAAGCAAGGCAAAAGGAGGTGCTGTGAGTAAGTAAAAGGGGAGCTCGCACTGTTGAGGCACGGAGGAAAGGCCTCCTCTCAACTGTCTCAAGAAAGGGGATATCAAAGCAAGTCCCATTTCATGCCTTCACCCATCCACCCATTGCTTTAGCAATTCAGAAACAAGGTTCTATGAAAGACATAAAGAAAAATTAGACCTGATGAAGTGTAACATCTAGAAAAATCATTATATTCCAAGTGAAAAAGGCAACTCAATTTCCATTACTTTCTTTTCCCTCCTTTCCCTGGCATTACTCATCACCTACTTTACAAATTCCAGTCTTTCATTGTTGGTAACTATTTACTTACAATGGCTGAGCATTGGCGAATGTTCTGAAATTGAGTTTATAACAAATTTAAGGCTCTTTTCTGTTGGCAATGACCAAGACACTGCCTAAAGACAATGTCTTCTTTCTCTGTTGTGATCCTATTTGTTTTTGTTTTTTTTTTTCTCCTGGGCTCAAGCAATCCTCTTGCCTGGACCCTCCCAAAGTATTGGGATTACAGGTGTGAGCCACCGCACCCAGTTTGTGATCATATTTGAATTGTAGCACTGGAGGAAAAAACGTATAGAGGCTGAACCAGCTCTGGCCCATCCCTCCCCCTGCCCTTTTCCCCTTTGTGGGATCCATACCCACAGCCCAGAAGCAACTATGTTAAAAGTCCTGGCACTGGGCTGTGCCATCCTTCCCCTGGAATGCTGCCTACCCCTTTTTCTCAGTCTGTGTTCCTGTGGCTCCCTCATTCCTCATACCAGAAACACGAACTTGTTTTTAGGCGCAGACTCAATGTGAACTCTTGTTGGTACTCCAAAACATCAATTTGTAGCACTTTCTACTGTTCTGGAGTCATTTGAAAGAATCCCAAATTCTTCTTGGCTATTTCTATTTGTTTTATTGCAGTTTTCTTCTTGATAATTCTCCCTGGGGTAAATCTCAGAAAATTCCCCAAATAGCCCACTCATTAGACACTGATAAATAAGAACCAAAGTAGTTATCGGGAAACCCATGCACAAAGTTTTGATGAGTGAGTTGGACATCCGGTATTCTAGGGCCACTTTCCCACAAATGGCTGTATTACGCACAGAGAGTGTTGATGAAAGCTGTGTACAGCTCCCTAGTGAGAAGGGGGTCTGGCATGTCCCTCAGGAACTCCTTCAGCAAGGCTGCCACGTCATGAACACTGTGCTCCTCCTCCAGAGAGACATCGATCCCACGGTCAAATTCCTCACGTAACTGGAAAAATAATGGTTTAAGTGGCAGTCATGTAACACCATACCTCAACGTGCGGTGCCCAACAAAAGAAGTGCTGTGACACACAACATCTGGAATTAAGTCTGCACAGACCCGAAGAAGGAGAAGTAAACAACATGTAGCCTTGATTTGTAGAGTCTACGCAGCCCAGCTATGAATATATATTAAATGCATTATTAAATTAAACTATCTGTGGATTTACTGTTAATGGTGTAAACAGAAAGGCTCTATAATGGCAACCAGAAGGTTGGGAGAAAGAGTTAAGAGGTAGAAGAGAATTTAGGTCAACTATAAATGTGGGAAGGAGAGGTTAATCTATTACGCAGCAGTTCTGCATGTCACCCATCCTGCCATGCTGAATGTTGATGATTTACTGAGGTACTCAACAAGAAGGCCAAAGAGATTTGTCTGCAAACAATAACATTAAAAATCCTGATAAGATATCTGTGACTAAGGCTTAAAAGTTGACAATAACTAAATAAAAGCTGTCTTATATTTGTGCAAGTAGCCTTATTAACAATTACCACAAGGATTCCCTGCCTTAATCATACTAGGTCTATTAGTAAGCATTTACAACAGCAAGAAAACAAAACAGCAAGAAGAAAGGAGTAATAACTCCACATTCTACTTTTATTTCTGACAGCTCAGCTTCTCTTATGCATTGTTCTCCACTGTAGAAATAATTATATAACTTCATGAATCTATGCTATGCAATAAACTTCTCTAAGAGTTCATTTGTTCGATCATTCATCCATCCATTCATTCAACAAAGATTTACTGCATATTTCCTGTGTACCACGCCCTGTTACAGGGCCCCAAAATACATAGCGAATAAAGAGGTGAAGTTCCTACCCTCCATCTCTCAGACTGGTAGAGGGACAAGATGATAAGCAAGTAAGCCCATAAATGATGAGCTCTTAGTATTGTGACTAGTGTTCTGAAGAAAAAGTGTAGGGTGCTAAGAGATGATATAACAAAATAAAATGGTGAATAAGTTAGAGCATATTTCATGTTTGAAATCTAATTCTAAGTAAACACTAATTATATTTTTATTGGGTAATCCTTAAGTAAATCTCCATGCAAAGGCTTTCTCTTTGATGGATCTAGATATAATTGATGAATAATTTCTAGCACTTGGCCACCTGTCTACCTGCTGAGAATACCCATCACTGTCCTGAACTGCTCCTTGATTCCAGATAATTTGCCATCAGCATGCATCAGGCAGCCAGAACTAAGAAGCCTTCCAATTTATGATCTTTCAAACACACCACGTTTCTTTTCCGAGCACACACATATGCAGAAAGGATGGACCATACAAAGAGCTTGGACTGTGAAGTTAACAGTGACCGGTTAATTTTGTGTGATCTTGAATTAAGTTTCTTAATCTCTCTAAGCCTCAACAGAAGTGGGTTAAAGGGGCTACTCTCACAGTTGGTGGGCGGATTCAATGAGGTAATGTTTGCGAAAATATTCTGCAATTCTGCACAGGTGAGAGGCCTAAGAAATGTCACTGTACTACCTTCCTGCAAGTCCTGTTGTGAAACATTAAATGTTGTTCAATAGTCTCTTGTGTGACTCTTAAGAATAAAAACCAACAAATCAATCAGAAAACACACTTCTTTTGAAAGACTTTTTTATCTTGACAAAAAAGATACATGAGGAGGCACCTATTTCAGTTACTTTCAATAATATGAACAAACATCATTTCTTCAGCTTTATCCAACTAAAATGTATTTTCACTTGACTTCATTTTTGAGTCGCTGTGTTCCTTATTTCCTTCTGTTGGAACCAACAGACGGAAAATAACATTTTAATTTTCTTTTGCTAACAAATGAATTATTTTCTCAAAGGATGATTTGCCTTTTATGAAGCTATCACAAATACAGACACCTGCCTAATCTCAGGAACCTATTCCTGAAGGTCTAATCTCAAACTTCTGTAGCAGGAATGTTGCATAGTGCTGAACAGACCAAGGGGTACAGTCCCTACATGAAATATGAATTGAGGATCCATGGAAACTTAATAAGAATTATATATTTTTGAGAAAGCTATAAAACATAGCATCTTATGTGAAGAGAATGCTAATGGCATTTTTCATATCGCATTTTAGTAAAAATGGTTGCTTTACAACTATTTTCTATATTCTATCACTTAGTAATTAGGCATTCACTGAATCTCCTGCTTTTGCCATGTCAATGACATGTTTATAACTAGTTTTGTTTGGCTGTCCATAGCATGGGCACATACAGACGTTTGTTTTCAAGAGTTTGATCCTAACTCTATAAAACAACGTTTCTGAGCTTACTATAATTGGTTGGAGGATTAAAAAAATGATATTCCAAAGGGAATTTGCATGAACTCAAACTTTGCACAAGGTAATTCCATTGAAAGTCAAGTGAAACATAAAATATAATCTTTACTTTTTACTTACTTGTCTCACTCTCTTTTTTGAGCTTCCAACTCGGAATATCCCCACTGTCTGGAGGCCTGCAAATAAGCAAAAAAAACCAACAGTCCTGTTTTATGGCTTTTGACTCTGTAGAAAATCAAAATAGAGAGCAGAATGCCAGCACCGTGCTGTAGCATGCAGAGCGATAGTAACTTCACAGCATACAGCAATGTTTCTTTCATCCTACACCATTTATATTTTTCCAGATACTTAAAGGTCAGCCCTTTAAGCACCACAATCATTTTATGTGAAATGCTTTGGGTAAAAAATTTTCGATGTTATATTATATATTTCTACACCCTCTCCCTATGAGGAAAAATAATGTAACATTTTCTTCATTATTCAGAATAATTACCGAAACATGAATTTTATACGGATTTTAGGTATTTATCAATTTTAAAACTAGATATTTCTTGCTTGGTCATAATTAAAATGTACTTCTTAAAATCTAGAAAATGCAGAAAAGTGTAAAAATAATATAATTTAAAAAATGCCTGATGCAGAAATAATCACTTAGTATTTCAGTTTACTTCTATCTAGCCTTTTCTCCATGAATATATGTTTTTTTACATAGTTGAGAGAGAGAGAGAGAGAGAGAGAGAGAGAGAGAAAGAGAGAGGGAGAGAGAGGGAGAGAGAGGAAGAGAGAATGCTATTGCCTTCTCTCAATATTATGCCACAAGAATTTTTATGCCAGTAAAAATTCCTTGTAAATGTCACATAAAATGGACGCAAAGTATTCTATTGTGTGAATGGGCCACAATTTACTCCATATACCCCCTCTGAATGATGTACAGGTCCCCGCAAAATACACATGCTGGTTTTACTGTTATAAATGACCCTACTGTGAACAACTCTGCACACATGCCTTTGTTCGCATCTCTGACTGATTTTCTTAGGATCATGTCCTAGATGTGAGAATACATCATGTTAACAAGTACAAAATGTTAGTAGTGCCAAGGTTGAGAAACCCAGTTCTAAAATAGTAGGTCTCTTAAAAAACACAAGTAATATCACTACCACACGTTAGAAATTTCAACAATAGTTCTTTAATAGCATGAAATTTCCAGTTAACAGCCACATAAGGTTCACAAACTGTGATATGGTCCGTGTGCCTTTTAGTCTCCTAATCTATGTTTCTCCCTCTCTGTTTAATTTTTTCCTTATAATTGGTTTGATGAAGAAATAGCAATGATTTCCCACTACAGATCTCCCCACACCGTCTGGATGTAGACACTCCATGGTGTCATTTACACATGTTCTTCTCTCATCTTTATTTCCTGTGAAGAGTGAGTTAGAGCCAGAGATTTCTCTGATTCAGGTGTGATTTTGGGGGTGGGGGGCGCAAGAATACTTCATAAGAGGTATTGTGTACTTCCCTCAGGGGGCACAGAATGTCTGAATGGCTCTCATTTCTATGCCAGCCATTAATCACTGCCATTGATGATCATTGTCTACATTTATTCTTTCTTTGGTGGCTCATTGCCTCTTCATTTGGCATACTTGGTTATGAGAGTGACGCCATATTGGAGCTGCTAATGGCCATTTGAAGCCATATGAAGAGAGCTGGTCTGAGCAAACAGACAGAGAGGGCTCATGGCCTCACTTGAATCCTGGATTCAGCTAAGCCTGAATCTAGATCAGACTCCCAGTATATAAATAAGGATGTTGTTGTTGGGTTTTTGGGAGGATAGGCCATTTTGCTTAATCTAGTTTTATCTGAGTTCCTCTATCCTGCCACTGAAAGAGTTCTGACTAGTACAATATTCAATTAAATTGGAAAGAATTTAAATCTTTTAACATTTAACATTATATCTTTCCATCCAGAAACAAAGTAAACATCTCGATTTGTTTAAGTTATGTTTTATACCTAGTGGTAGAGCTTTGCAGTTTTCTTTACAGAAGTTTCTTACTTATCATTGCAGATATTCTGGGTATTTTTATATTAATATGAATAAGTTATTTTATTATGATGATACATAACTGATTATTGCTCTTATGTTGGAAATGGATACCTTTTGTATATTTAATGGTCTTGCCACATTATATATTAAGTATGGTTTTTTAAGTTGGTTTTCCAGGGTTTTTAGTTAGAAAAGATAACAACCATAAATACCTCATCTATTGGTTCTGTATCTTTTAAGTGTTATCCTGAACTTCCAGAATAATTCGGAAGAATCATGGAGAGAGGCTAGTTACTGCAGACTCACATAAGCACATAGCGGTGCTTTACTCTCTTAGGGGAATGCTACTTTGCATCTATTTTCAAAGGATTTCAGAACCCTCCTTGTTACTGTCATCAGTATGTCCGCCTCATAACTGAAGCCAACCCCCAACCTCATTTATTGTTTCTACCTCTCCGGGAGATTGTAAACAGGATAATCAAGCTATTTAGAATAAAATACAGAATTATATTTCTTAATCTGCAAAATGATCATAATTAGTACCCACATCAAAAGTTATGCAATGATTTGATTAATGCATATAAAATACTTAGAATAATATCTGGCACATACCATTATATAGAGAGAAATAGGCTCTGAATGAACTGAATGGGTCTTTTACATACAAAATAGAAAATTTCAATATAATAGTAGGTCTTAGTAACTTTAATTTTGGCTACATTTAGTTTTTATTCTCAGATGGTTTCTGAATGGTTGAAATTTCTTTAGAAGTGAGGTATCACATAAAGGCATTTTCTACACATGTGGAACTATTCATTTCGCTGAAATTCTCCAGGATGTTCAGAAATATTCATTGCTGTGGCATCATTTCTTCAATTATAAGTAATTTCCCCTCATTAACAATGATTGTGATTTAAAAAACTAATTAGTAACTAGATAGTGATTAATTGCTATAATTTCTATGTATCTCAATTGACTATAATGGTTTAAGATTTTTAAAAATTTAATTAAATTTCTTTTTGAGTGTAGAGCAAATGACAATCTTTAGATGGCCAGTGCTTTCTTCTGATACAGTCATATAGTCCCTTCCTCAAAGGGAAGATACAGTAGAGGCATTCAGTAAACGTGACAAGACAGTCACTGATAAAAACAGGTGTGCATCAAAAAAACGCATAGATCTGGCAATGATATATGACTTTTCTGTGTCCTGTACCAGAAATTGATATGATTACATTTTTCCCCTTTCCTCCAGAAACCCTCAAATCTCAGGCTTAAGGACTTCTGGAAACGGGGCAGGCACACAGAACAGTAGGTTTCACCTGAATATCAGCCTAAATCTCAGAAATATAATATAGTTTGATTCTCTTCTATATTCTTGTCTGTTTTTTGGAAATATGTGCTTCTGAAAAATTGAGAAAGCTAAAGAAATTCTAATCTAGTAGTACAGAAAGCATTTGAGTAAAACATAAGTAAGGAAAGGTTGTGTACATGAATATAGATGGGCCCAATCTAATTGTCTAAGACCAAATTTGGAGAGGGTGAAAACACCTTTGACAAATGTTTATAAGGCTAATGTGACTCAAGCCCTCTGCTACCCATTTCAAAAATAGGCAAATAAAGTCTTATGAAAAAATGTTTTTGAAGTTTGCTCTTTCTTCATTGACTTAAAGTGACCACGGTCAGTATCTGTTTGAATTTGAACATGTTTCTTAATTTTCTGGAGTCACTTGGTTGAAATACTATGGAAACCTGGAATGGAATCAGTGCCTTGGCAGGCCAAGAAGGTTATCTTCCTGTCTTTAGTCCCTAAACTATATGTTAATGATTCCAAAAAAGAAAATGAACTGCCCTGTTTTTGAATATATTTAAAGGAAATGCTATTTTACAAACTATAATTCATGACAATTTATTTTCAAGAAAATAAAAAGACATACCAATTTTTCTTTCACAAAAGCAGTTACTCAACCTGACACTAGATTTTCGTGTGACTAGGGTACAATTTTCTTGCTATAATTCTTTATAATGCTTCCAGTTCACTCTCTATAATATTCATAGGGGAAAATTATAATTCTAAAAGTATGTGTCTCTTTTTCTACCTCACAGTGAAATTTAGGCTGAATTTACATATTCACAGTATTGAATTCCTTAGTTGCTAAGCTATTTTTTTAAAAATAATTCTGTTCAAATAACATTTATTGAACATCTACATTGTGCTAATCATGATAAATAAGCACTGGGAATTCAAAATGACTAAGACATTTTCTTTGACTTCCAGTTTATTTTCCAAGACGGAGATAGGAAGATAATCATATGCGTGTGCACACACACACATACAGAGTCATGCATCACTTAAAACAGGGATACGTTCTGAGAAATATGTCATTGGGCGATTTCATCATTGTGGTATAGCCTCACCTATATGCTACAGCCTAGTATACACCTAAGCTATATGGGATAGCCCATCACGCCTAGGCTATGCACCTGTATAGCATATTCCTGTACTGAATACTGTAGGCAACCGTAACACAATGGGATTTGTGTTTCTAAACACAGAAAAGGTGCAGTAAAAATACAATATTCTAATTTTATATGACCACCATCATATATGTGGTCTGCTGTTGACTGAAATGTTGCCATGCATCACATGACTGTATCACATGACTGTATTTGGATATATGTGTGTGTGTGTGTACATATAAACACATATATATAGAGAGAGGAGGTATGATCAATGTACATAGGTAATACATAGGCATGTGAAAGATAAGGTGAAGAAAATAAAAGACCCTACACTTAAAATTTTATAAAAACAAATAAGATTTTAATACATTAATTTTATTGTCACCCATGTTATCCAGCGATTTCCATATCTAATAAGGATTAAGAAATTTAGATATATCCTTAATTTTTTTATAAAGTCCCATTTTGATTAGAAGAAAATAGATGAGAATGTTAGCAATAGTTATGTCTGCATGGTAGCATGGTAGCCTGTGAATTTTCTTTCCTGTTTACTTTTTTTGTACTACAGTGAGCATATTATTTTCATAGTAAAAAAGTAATTAAGAAACTTTTCTTATGTCTATAAAATGCATGCTAACACTATAGCAAACAAATTTAGATTATGGAAATGGAAGTTTAATGAGCCCAAAGTCTGAATTTAAGAAAATTTTTAAAATAATTGTGTATCACTTTTAAGTTAACATATTAACTGGAAAAGAGTGACTGTGGAGAAATTTGAAGTGGACATCTTCCACAAAAATGCAAATAGCAATATGTAAACCTCTCATCAAAAAAGATATATTTTCTATTCATTTAAGCAACGATTTCTAAATCTTTTTTTTTTTTTTTAAGAAACCTGGAGTCTTATTTTTTAAAGGAAAACTTGTGAGTAACCTCAATGTATAAAAGATAAAAATGGCTCTGCTCTGTTTGAAAGGGGTCCTGGGGACAGACGTAGCCCAATAGACCCCATCTTTCCCTAAATTGCTTGGCCTCCAGGGCCACTTCTGAGGACTCTTGGGGGCTGAGCAGTCTGAATACCATCAAGTTGATTTTTCCCCCACAATGTTGTTTAACCTGGTAATCTCTTAAGCAAATTCTCACATCTGTACACTTCCTTCACAAAGGAAGTTTTGGTCCAGAGCCTGATAAAATGAACACAGAATTGAAATTGGGTGCTTAAATGAATGATGCTTGAATAAATGAAAGTCTTTAGTACTTGATCAGTGACAGACAAGTCTACTTACCATGTTTTTCTAGATGCTGACAGCAGCTGTCCACTAGTCTGGGGACTTGTCTGTAAATGGGATTCAGACTGAGTTTCTTATCTCGGGCTTTTTCTTTTTTATTTTGAGCCTCAGCAGGCAAAGAAAGTTGTAAAGCTTCTAGTAGTCGAGACTGATTGTCATCAAGATCGGTGATGGAATCCACTGACATGGCACCCTACACATGACACATAGCCGTGAACAAAGAGTACAGACAGACAGGCTAAACAGCTCCCCCCACGTGCTGGCTAGTACAGACTCTTGCTCGTGACTATTTATCATACTTGAAATAATGCTGCCTTGATTTCATTAATTATGCTGCTGGAATTAAAAGAAACAAAATAAATGCCTTTTTGAAAGAGTTAGAAAACCTCCACAACATAGGGCAAGGTGATGGCAGTTACAATTTCAACAATAGATGAAATTTCCCAAATGGAAGACAAGAGATGGAAAACATATTAATTAAAGTATTTTGGCCCAATCACTTTATTTCTTGAAACAAACAAACAAATAAACAAAAAAATCACATAATGAGTGAGGTAGTCAGAGAAGTCTTGTGAATAAAAAACTCAACTATGACTCTAGGAAATAGATTTTAAAAATAGGAGGATTTCATAAAATGGTCTTAGTTTAGTTTCTCCCAGAAGCTGCACATAGTGCGTTATTAGGGAGATGGTCCTAGGAAACACCTGTAGGGGAGTGGGAAAATGAGACAAGGACGGGAGGACAGCTGATGAAGGGAGAGTTATCAAATGTATTACCATTGCGGGCAACTGGAGCTCAAGTTCCCAAGGGAGCTCTAGGAGACCGTGTAGATCATGCACCTCAGAGGTATCCCTACTAAGGAGTGAGGGAGTGGGGGTATTTATACACCAAGTTTCAAGAATCATTGGTTAAGAGCAGACTCTGATAGGGGCAGGGAGATAAGGTTATCTCCTGAGTACTTACAGCCTGCCATCTATCTGCATGGGCCAGGTGCCTCTGGCCATCAGAGAAAGCCCTCAGCAAAGAGGTGAGGTGCTGGCAGGCGGAAGATGAGCTGGCATGCTAGAAATGGCAAAGGCTCAGGGAAAGGGAGCGGTGCACCACATGTGTTTGCTATAGCTACCCATCCTTGATGAAGGTAGAGGAAGAAGTTGGCTACTAGTGCCCTAGCAGGGCCTGGACAGAGGCGAGAGCATTTGGGGGCCCCATTGCCTAAGCTCTAGATTTCCAGGAAGCTCAAATTAAGAGTTTTGGTGTTATTGTCATAAGAGTTCATACACACAGTCTGAGAAACAATGACAGAATTCAAAAAACAATTTCATCATGCAAATTCAAGTATTCTATAATTTCATCATTTCTTCATTTTTAAATATAATCAATACTGCAAAAAATAGAAGTGGCTGAGGTCCCCCTCTACTTTGGAGAAGTCCTGAATGTTGGGGGCTGATAGAGAAATGTGAGTTTTAAGTGGGAAGTGTCTGTGGTTTTAGATAAGGCAGTCTTCAATGGCTGGAGGTGGCAAAGATTTAGGGCCTCCAGGTGAGAGAAAAAGGAGAGAAGGTCTCCCAGTGACCTAGGAAGTTTAAGAGATGTTTATTAGCTGAACCAGCCAATCACCATTCAGTTTGCCTGAAAACTCAGCTTTCCAGGTTTGAAATTTGAAAAACCAAATAATAGCCTAGTGCCTAGAACTTAGTACACATGTAACAATTGGTACCATATTGTTACAGTATTGATTTGGAAGAGGATATGTATAGGATTCTGTGGTTCTAAGAAAAATAAATGCTCCATTGATAAGGAAAAATCTCATTGCCTATGAAGACCTGCAGCCAATGCATTTTGGCCAGGTATATTCTCAGACTGGTGGTAAAGAAATTAGCAAGAACACCGGGTCCACCCTGGAGCCTCACAAGCTAGCAGGAGAGTCTGGCCACACAACAGATTATAAGAGATCAGGATCAATGGCGATATTGTAGAATGTTTAGGGTATCATGAGGCACAGAGGTAACAAAGGAGGGCTACCCAACAGCATTGAGAGGAGTCAGGGAAGGGTCTGAGGGAATGCCAGGTGCCACATGCCCAGTGTAAATTTTCCCTACATGGGGTCATTGACAGATATTTGAACACAAACTACATATCCAGTTTTCATCTGAACAAAAACTCAAAGAACAACCTTATACATCTTCAGTTTTCCTAGCATTGGTGTCAGAGAAAATACTGGCCAACTCACCCTCCTCCTGGCTCTAGGAGCTGGTTCTGGGGTGTTCGGGGATGTTGACTCATTTGGTGTTTCTGAGGTTGAGCTGAGAGATGAGTTACTGCTTGAGAGTTCTTTGTTTTGTCTTTTGTTTCCAAATGGGAGGAGAGAAGCCACAAAATCGGATGCATCCTTTTGCTCATCCCTCTGCAAGTCCTGTTTGAGTTTATAGGCCCTGTCATTCGCAATGACTTGGGATAAGGGCATTCCAAATGCCTGTGGGATAAATTCTGGAATCAAAAACACACATTAGCTTTCAGAGACTGCCCGGACCAGTGAAGACTCTCAGTCATCTTTCACACATAAGACTTTCTGAAGAATTGACCCATCATCAAAATACAGAGGTGACTTTTATGTTTATCAGAATGGCCAAAGTTTCAATTTCGATAAAGAAAGCTAGTATGTATAAACACATCTTCGATATCTAGGTCTCAAGTTTTTCTCCACTTGCCTCAAGTCTGTTTTAAAGGAAATAACTTTACAGAGAAATGTGACATTTTTGACAGAGTGTAAATAATATTTTATCTTCATGAATACACAATTTTACAACCTCTTAGTCTTTGATTTATATATTTTAGAAGCCTTCGAAGCCCAGAAAGCATGAAGAGACTGCATTCATACATTCATTCAACAGGCATTTATTGAATACCTGCTACATGCCATGACAAGCTATGCAATGGTGGGGGGGGGATAAAACTTATAAAAGGTCCAGTCTTCACTCTTGAGTGGTTCAGAGTGTGGGGTTGAGGGAGGGAGTGGAGAGTCAGACATGCAAATAATTATAACAGAGTGACTATCATGTATTGTAATAGAGAGATGTATGAAGTCAAGACTGAAATTCAGTTCAGTAAATACACTTTGAAGTTCCCAATAAGAGTCAGCATATGAAGTGATAACCTGAGAGGCAGAGGGGCAGCTTGGGAACTGATTGGGAAGAGGTTTTCTCTGTTTTCATTGTGTTCCTTGCTCCACGTCCTATTTCCAGCCAGCTGGGTTGGGGCTGTCACCCTGATGATCTACACTCAAGCCATTTTGCTGGTAACATGCGGAGTGGACCCGACCAAAAAATATCTGGTGGGAGCCTCAGAATACAATTTGTTCAATTCTCTAGTGAGGACAATTTAGAGGAAGGGACATAATGTATAAATCTATGGCTTTATTTGGAAATGTACATATAGTTGTTTTCTGGTTCTCCGTAGTAAATCCGCTTATATACATTACCTTGGATCCTTAGGGCCAGGCATTTTATTGGTAATATTCTAGATTCATGCTGAATAGTACTAATAATTTAATCAAATTCATTATTCCTTTTAGACTCCAAATTAGGTCTCCTAGCAGCAGCAAATTGGAGTCTAGACTCTTCATTATTTTCATAAGCCTTATGGATGAAGCCAGAATGATCAAGGGAAAATAATTCTAAGATTGTTTCTTATTTGAAAGAAAAAAAGCTAACATTAAATCAGGTGGAAAGAGGCTTTAAAAGATTTTCCTCCTTGATCCGTGGCAACATTTTTAACATCGCTGGGCTAATGGCCAAGTCTACATTAAAAGCAGAAGTGCTACTTGAAAAACCTGTACCTCCGGTTCTATCAAAACATGCAATTTGTTTTGAAGTAAAAAATCAAAACTTCAGCATTTTGGGATTTTCAGATGATACTGGTCACTCTCTGTCAACAAACTTAGGTGACATATAGTAATAAAAAAATAAGGCATTTCTCCTTCAAGTGATTCAATGTGGACAGTGTAGTGAGATACAATACTCACTACTGATAAAAGGCCATAGAACTACTAGCAAAATTAGGGACCAAAAGGGATAGTACCAGACCACTTGTTGTGCACCCTGAGGATTTATTATATAAATCAGTGCCATCTTGTCTGTGGAAATAATCAAATTCAAAAAGGTTGAGGAAATCTGTCAGGACTGACAGCTACATGAAATAACAGAAATGATGGGAGATAATAAGAGTAAAAAGAACATTGATAAATGGAACAAGTGACACATGTCTGCACAGGTAGGCTCACTTGTAACAGTCATTTACTATAAGATGGGGACTATCGAGTCCTTTCCCAGCCATTTTTTCCATGTAAGGGAAACCGACCAGACTCATTTAGATAATTCTTACATCTCCGGAACAAAAAGAAGAAAAATTGATTTCTTTGGAACTTGTCATTTTTAATATCTAAAAGTCTGCCACTCTACTTGTAAATTGGAATAATTGAATACAAATTAAACAAGTAAAATACATGAAGTCATTCTCCCCCAATTTTTGTATCTTTTTTATTCCCATTCAAGAGAGGTAGCCACCCATAACAGATCTTTATTTCTCTCTAATAGGTTTCCTTTTCTGGTTGAGTTTATTCTTTCAATGGTAGAGCTCTGATGTAGTCTCTTTAGCTTCATGTTGCTTTCCCTGAGGACTCTTAAAAGCTTTGGAAAGGAGACCTCTCTTTGCTCTAAACTGTGTTGCAGTGCCTATTTCGTGTATGCTAAATTCTAGGAAGGATTCCTGATTATTATTTCTTCTCAAAAATATGGCTATTGTGAAATTGAGGACTCATCCCAAGTCTTTAGAGCAAAGCCCACCTTTATGTGTAAATGAAGTGTTAGGGACACATGCCCATCTGGGAGTTCAAAGTTCTTCTGTTAGGGGAAAAAGGAGCCTCAAAACTCTTGGTGTTGACAGAAGCTAACAAAGTTGATAATGGGTTTTTCAAACAACAAGGAAATTACCCTAGACTCACAGTGCTGGGGCCAGGGACGATGGGTGTCATGTTCTCATCTATGGCATGTGTTCACTAAGGAGACACTTCCCCGCCGTCCTCATTAGCAGTGACTGTCTATTCTCCCTCTCCATGGATCTTCAGGTCAGGAAGTGTCGCTCATCCTTTTTGCTCCCTACGGCTACTTGCAGACCTCCACGCTCCTACTTTGTGGCAGAAATCTGCTACTGCAAGGCTCCTCTTGTCCTCTGCTCATTGTACTCTTCTCTTGTCATTGACTTTGGCTCACAGACAGACCCCCAGTCTACCATCATCCTAGGTGACATGGATGTCCACCTAAATGACCCATCAGACTCTATCCTCACATCTCCTTGACTTCCTCCTCCTCCCCTTATCTTTTCCTCCATACCATCTTTGTCACCCAATCTCTTGGTCCCATCCTGGGCCTTTCCTCATCAGAAGTCATCCCATCTCTGGAATCAGGCTTCTGCACTGACCACAACTCCCATCCTTCTGGCATGCTCTGTCAGCTGATCCTATTACCAAGGTCCCTCCACTGCACCAACTCTGCCACGTTTTTCCCCTCTGTTAGCTTCTGCCCATCAATCTTTGCTTCCCTCCAAATTAGAGTTCTCCAACACTCCAATCCAGATGCTCCCACTGTCTGCCCCTCAGTGGCTGCATCTGGGTGACTGCCAGAGTGTATCTTTGCCTGGGAGGGACTGACACCACTACGTGTCATGCTCACCAACCTCGGCCAGGCCCTTAACACTCACCAGCAGCCCCATTTTGTTTCTCTGGTTGATTCAGCCCTGCTACTCTTTTCAAAAACCAATTCCACCCACTCCATTCACCTGTAACCTCAGATCTTCTCAGCACCTCCTCCCCACCAGCAAATGATTCAGCCTCTGCTTCAGAAGAAGAGCGACCAGCAAGTGTAAAGGCTTCCACTCTTCACACCTGCTGTACCTGTGCCCCCATCTTTGTGTGCCGTAGAGGTGTGACTGCAGCTGCCAGCCTCGCTGCCTCATCGCAGTTCCCAGGCTCCCCCACCTGCCCTTCAACTACTGATAACTTTAAACCATGAATAACAGTGTACTGCAACCAAGACCACAAAATAATTATCCTAATGCTCTTAGAGAATAAATCAGGGCTCAGCAATTGTTTTCTGCAAAGGGCCACATAGTAAATATTTTAGCTTCTGTGGGCACAGCTGGGGCTTAGAATGCCTGGGACGTGAAATTATGAAGTGCTCCTGCTCAGGCATGCAGAGTGAGCATGTCCTTCAAGTCTGTGCCCTGGTGCTCAGTGTGCCTCTCTCCAGGTCACACAGGCTCTGTAGTAGCTACTCAACTCTGCGGGCCTAGTGGGTAAGCAGCCACAGACAAGTAAATGAATGGGCATGGTTGTGTTCTAATAAAACTTTATTTACAAATACAGCTGGTGGGCCAACCCCTGCTATAAACGACATTTTCTTGTGCCTGTACCTTCACCCTCTTCTTTTTCTGCTAGATATTTTATACTAAATATATTCAAGCAGCTCCTTCTTTAAGAAGTAAATAACCCTTGACCCACCCTACTTTCTCCTCAGTGGTTTACCACCTCTCTTCTTTGCACAGTTAAAATTCTCTGAAGTGTTACCTTTCCTTTCTGGCCTATACCTTTCTCACCTGCCACTCTGTCCTCATCTCATCCAGTCTAGCCGACACCTCCACTGGAGAAAAGTTTTCTCCAAGTTATTGCTGACTTCAGAGTCATTACATCCAGTGTTTTTGACAGCTCTGTTTCGTTTGCCCTCTTGGCAGCCTTCGACCCTGATGGCTGCTCTCTAAAACACTCTCTGTCTTTTGCATCCTGGATATGCTAGCTGGGTTTCCCTCTACTTCTCTGGCTACATTGTTGCTCCTTTTGCTGGCTTATCATCCTTTACCTGGGTTTTCAATGTGGAAGGTCCTCAGAGCTCAATCCTAATCCCTCTCCTCACTCTGGCCGCTCTCCATAAGCAGTATCATCCATGCTCATAACTCTAATTTCCATCCCTAGGAATTTGATATGTTGTTACTACCTTCAGCTCAGACCCCTCCTCTGAGCACCAACCACTGCTTCCACCTTTGCACCTGGATATCCCAAAGGCATCTCTTACTCCCCATCTTCCCCTACCAGGTCCTATTCAGATTTCCGACGGTCTGTCTGTTCTTCATGTGGGAGAACCAGAATTCTGAGACTCATCCTTGATACTTCACTCTTTCTCACATCTCATTTCCACTCTATCATTTAATCCTTGTCATTCATATTCTCCTCATGTTAACTCTCATTTCCATCCACTTCTCTCCACTTCCACCATTACTTCCACCCTAGTTCAAGGTACCATTATCTTTCCCCTGTACTTCCAAATAGCCTTCTAACTGGCCTTCCTCCCTCTATTCTGTTGTCACCCCCATCTTACACTGCAGCATGGCAATCTGTTTAAAGACACCATTAAATCACTCCCTCTTTAGTATGCATTGATGGTGTGTCAGTGCTCTTCTTAGCATGTGGACCACAAACCATGCTGTGGCCCACACAGTCCTGCGGAAGCTGTTCCCTTCCTACCTTTTCCTGAAACCATACTCCCCCTGGTTCTCTCTTCTCTAGTACTAGCACTCAGTGATAGCATTCAATATATGTTCTTTGTGAATTTCTACGTAGTGATAACTGATAACTCGATTTTTCTGCTGCTATTTAATATGGGGCAAAAGTAAAAGTTGTATCAGCTATTCCTATATCATGTTACTTCACAGCTCACAATGAGTGACATACTTAGACAGTGAGGAGCAATAAAACATGGCACAATATGATTTCAACATAAACAAAGGTGTAAGAACTGAACTATCCCCAGTTTTATATTGCTAAATATATGACATGATCTGAAAATGTCCTGGGGGGAGAGATCTATCTCCCAGAGT